TAAGTATGGAGTTTTCCATGGTTATTAGGTGACTAACTACAATCGTAAACATTTCGGGAATTTCCGTTAAAATTCGAATTTGGTGTCACGCCAAGATTGTACCCCGATAACTCAAACAGTATGACGGAAAAATCCGTACAATTCCGATTGGAAAACATTAACGTTGGATTAATCTTGGTGACAACATTTTTGGAAGGTTCATGTAAGGGATGAAAATATATTACAATGATCGGGCAACGTTCGTCCTGCAGAATACATGTATGTCTGCTAGCCAATGAACTTCCTATCGGAATGGCAATGGAAAGCATACCATCCTTCATCAAGTTTTATATTCATTCGTTCATTTCTTCATCCACTCGTTCTTCATCATCCAATTATTCATTAATCTATTACTTAGATGCGCTTCTCGGGGCACTTGTTGATTTGACTTCGATATGTACACACAGACGAGAGGAATGTCCATTTAATATGAGAAGCCTCTTGCATGCAGTATATGTTCCTGACCACATAGACCCGATAATTTGGTACCGCTACATCTGGACCAAAACTAATCATTTGAAAATCAATTCGATAGTCTACTAACGCAATTTCCGTTGTCATTAAATTTGTTAAATATAACAGAGGTCCAATACGGCTTAGGTAATAAAATAATATATGTATAATAATATTTGTTTTGTTGAAGGATTAGCTAATACTGTATCCTGTCACTAAGATATTCTTCGTACGTTGATTTCTAAAATATTTAAACGTCGCGTGTATTGATTTTCAAGGTCAACATGTCTCCAAAAACTCAGACTTTTTTCACGATTACTGGGGACCCTTAATATAAACCAATAACAATCGGATTATATCAGATGTAGGTCGTCTGTTCCTCATAGAGTTCTTAAACGATTTTGCCTATGTAATCGTCACCATTGCTCCGCCCCTCCCAAGGTCATTGAAGGTCACATGGTTTGGGTTCCGCTGTTATTTCAACCACCCGTGCACCGTTTAAACATTCTCAACCGTTTACATGCCATATTTACTTTGGTATTTTAAACTGCATGAAAATACACAGACACGCTAATGACACTTGAAAATTAATATAGATGTTTATACAGCGTAAACCGTGCACAATTAACTCACGTCCAGCCCAAACAGAACGTGTGCAGCAGAATGGCCCCTATCAATTAGCCTATGTTTAATTTCACTTTAATGATTTGTACATTATTAATTTTCGGTTTTATTCACACTGTGCAAATATTCCTGCGATTTGACTAACCCTTTAAAAGCTTCACACGGTCGTCCTACACCATAGCGAGCCTATATACACGAAAACCGAACATTTTCTTTATGCATATTTAAGATTGAGGAACGTGTTCTACCAGCAGGTATCGGAAATACATTGCCATTGTACAAATTTACTTACAGAACAGATTTTATTTATACGACTAATATTAATGCAGATCATTATTTATTCTACACATAATAAATTATGTACAATGTATTTATAATTAGAAATCGAACATCCAGTATGGATAACGTTGCCCGACGTTATATTTGTCAAATTCTTTAAAGCTGCATTATCGGCATTTTTGCGGTGTTTTTTAAAGATCTATCTAGACACGTGTATACATTGTAAACTATCTGAACAGCTGTATACAATGTAAACTATCTAGACACGTGTATACAGTGTAAACTATCGAGACACGTGTATACAATGTAAACTATCGAGACACGTGTATACATTGTAAACTATCTAGACACATATATACAGTGTAAACTATCTAGACATATGTATACAATGTTAACGATTTAATTTTAATTATATACAGTGTAAACTATCTAGACATATGTATACAATCTATCTAGACATATGTATACATTGTAAACTATCTGAACACCTGTATACAATGTAAACTATCTCGACATATGTATACAATGTAAACTATCTAGACATATGTATACAATGTAAACTATCTAGACACCTGTATACAATGTAAATTATCTCGACACATGTAGTCAATGTAAACTATCTAGACGTATGTATACAATGTAAACTATCTACACATCTGTATACAATGTTAACTATCTAGACACGTGTATACATTGTAAACTATCTGAACACCTGTAACTAATGTAAACTATCTAGACACCTGTATACAATGTAAACTATCTAAACACCTGTATACAATGTAAACTATCTATACACATATATACAATGTAAACTATCTAGACACATGTATTCAATGTAATCTATCTAGACGTATGTATAAAATGTAAACTATATATACACCCGTCTTTAATGTAAACTATCTAGAAACATGTATGCAATGTAAAATATCTAGACACCTGTATACAATGTAAACTATCTCGACATCTGTATACAATGTTAACTATCTATACACGTGTATACATTGTAAACTATCTGAACACCTGTAACTAATGTAAACTATCTAGACACCTGTATACAATGTAAACTATCTCGACATATGTATACAAGGTAAACTATCTAGACATATGTATACAATGTAACCTATCTAGACACATGTATTCAATGTAAACTATCTAGACGTATGTATAAAATGTAAACTATATATACACCCGTATTTAATGTAAACTATCTAGAAACATGTATGCAATGTAAAATATCTAGACACCTGTATACAATGTAAACTATATATACACCCGTATTCAATATAAACTATCTAAACACATGTATACAATGTAAACTATCTAGACACATATATACAGTGTAAACTATTTAAACACCTGTATATAGTGTAAACTAGCTAAACACATGTATACAATGTAAACTATCTAAACACCTGTATACAATGTAAACTATCTAGATACATATATACAGTGTAAACTATCTAAACACCTTTATACAATGTAAACTATCTAAACACCTGTATACAATGTAAACTATCTAGACACGTGTATACAATGTAAACTATATAGACACGTGTATACAATGTTAACTATCTAAATACGTGTATACAATGTTAACTATCTAGACATATGTATACAATGTAAACTATATAGACATATGTATACAATGTAAACTATATAGACATATGTATACAATGTAAACTATCTAGACATATATACAATGTAAACTATCTAGACACCTGTATACAATGTAAACTATCTAGACACATATATACAATGTAAACTATCAAGACATATGTATACAATGTAAACTATCTAGACATATATACAATGTAAACTTAGACACATATATACAGTGTAAACTATCTAGACACATGTATACAATGTAAACTATCTAGACACATGTATTCAATGTAAACTATCTAGACGTATGTATACAATGTAAACCATCTAGACACCTGTATACAATGTAAACTATCTAGACGTATGTATACAATGTAAACCATCTAGACACCTGTATACAATGTAAACTATCTAGACGTATGTATGCAATGTAAACTATCTAGACACCTGTATATAATGTAAACTATCTAAACACCTGTATACAATGTAAACTATCTAGACACGTGTATACAATGTAAACTATATAGACACGTGTATACAATGTTAACTATCTAAATACGTGTATACAATGTTAACTATCTAGACATATGTATACAATGTAAACTATATAGACATATGTATACAATGTAAACTATATAAACATATGTATACAATGTAAACTATCTAGACATATGTATAAAATGTAAACTATCTAGACACATATATACAATGTAAACTATCTGGACATATGTATACAATGTAAACTATCTAGACACATATATGCAATGTAAACTATCTAGACATATGTATACAATGTAAACTATATAGACATGTGTATACAATGTAAACTATATAGACATATGTATACAATGTAAACTATATAGACATGTGTATACAATGTAAACTATATAGACATATGTATACAATGTAAACTATATAGACATATGTATACAATGTAAACTATATAAACATATGTATACAATGTAAACTATCTAGACATATGCATACAATGTAAACTATCTAGACACATATATACAGTGTAAACTATTTAAACACCTGTATATAGTGTAAACTAGCTAAACACATGTATACAATGTAAACTATCTAAACACCTGTATACAATATAAATTATCTAAACACCTGTATACAATGTAAACTATCTAGACACCTGTATACAATGTTAACTAATAACTAGACACTTATATGTTATATTATTTGATAGAAATTCAAGAATCAACATTATGATGACATTGGCAAAAAAACTGATACCAGGTAGATAGGTAGATAAATTTCATTAAATTGGAAATATTTTCATTTTCTAAGGAGAAACCAAAATTTGTTTTTCGGATGTTCGAAAGTTTGACAGACTTTTGAAAATGCATATCGAATTGTTTTTGGTGCTCAAATATCAATCGTAATTTGGATAACCTGTAGGTCTACAACAGTCAAAAATATATACACAGACAGACTAAACGAAAGTCGTAAATCGGATAATTAGGAAGATTTTACATAATGGACATTGCGTCTCGTGTAAGAGATAAGTGCGCTCGTCATGCGTAACACGTATCAGATATAAGGTCTTACCTGGCATAGGGTCGCTGACCAATGCTGGACCCGACACGAGGAGATAAGTCGCTGATCATGAATGGTACTAACGTTCTACATCAGTACCCGACACAGGATCAAACTATGCTATGTTTTAAAAGCATAATTATGATAATTAAATTTTATTTCTGAGTTTTTATTTATTCTTTCTGTTATATTTCTAATTTCAAAAATTACGATACTAGTGAATCTTGGCCGACCTAAGCATCAAATTGCCAGGTAAAGGCTCAAGGATAATGTGTAGTGCCAGTACTAGTCTGACCGTCCATCAAGCTGTCGATCATCGTTATCGGAGGGGGCGGGTACTAACGGACTGATAACACATCGCTCGGGTGGTTATTATTAAATCTCTTATCATATCGGTCATTATGTTGTGTCACGTGATGTGACGTCGCGGGGATCAATATTGGCGACAAATCGGTGATAGCCTTTACAAAGATATGTCTGTGTGATAATGTAGAGGGAAGCCCACCCGAAACCTCATCTTTCTCGACTTACATATTGTATTATATTGTCATACCTGGATTTTTACCTGTGGATCCACCTTGATACCCTGTTGAATTATACAAGGGTGAGACGGCCCATACATCATTTACCTGAGGTTTTTTTTTCAGTTGTACTTGTGATTTATGAAGGTATTGATAAAAAAATGGTATAACCTAAATAATATCAGCTATCAAGGACCATCTGGTGAGTGGGTTGACTACTGGGACATTACCTTGTAGAGCTGGGACGGCGAAGCCATACAACTGTGGCTACCCAAAGACTGGTCAACAAACTGTGGACACGGATATGCCGTGTATGTCTGACAAGGATTTCCTAGAAATGCAAACTCCTGCGAAAATCACGTGCAGAGAGGGTAGCATAGATACGGATCGTGAGTCCATAGATACCAGTAGTACGTCCCCGGATATTAGCTCGGACGAACGCCGGAAATATCGGAAACGCGGAGTGAAACACGGTAAGGTCATTCAAAAACGTTTATAACTGTATTTGTAATACAAGGATTTAAGTTTACACGTGAGTATGGTATAGACCACGTAACTACAGAAACAGACTCATGCAAATAAGGTCATAAAGGTCGTTTGCATATTACAACACGCAATGTCATAACAAATAAGACGCCATTCATTTACTTACATTTAAGGTTCATCATAATTTTAAATCTTTAATTTAGAAATTGATTATAACAAAGACGCATGTTGTAATATGACCAAAATATCGCAAATACGAGTTGCAGTAAATATCTATCAGTAAATCGTGCTGTTACAATAAAAGATGACGCCATGAAACATTTTAAAATGTATCATTTTATTCTGTAATTTTTACAATCTGATGTAGACTTAAATTTTAACAGAAAAGTATTACAGGCCTCTGAGTATGAAGCCAGCGTGAATTGTGTACTGTATGTAACACAATGCTCGGGAGTCGGTCTGTAATTAGATCATGTCTATATAAGGTCTTGTATGTTAAATGTAAGAGTATTTATTACTATCACACAATGTAAACATAAAATATATCAACAATTAAAAGGGTATGTATATTCATATTCTGCGTTTCTTGCCACAAAATGCAAACGCCAGTTGTAGGTTATGGTTTTGAGAGTGATGCAGTTACCATGTCAATGCATGGTGATGTACTGTATGTTAGTTATGAAACTGTTCATGTGCATAACAACCGTTATTTTGTGTATATAGTTACATATATATATCACATTGTATGGAGCAAACGCATTTGAATATGCATTTTAATCGTGTAAGCATACCCAAGTTAATAGTTGCAAATGATAACTGCACATGCGTTACACGTGTGTGACAATAACAGAATGCTGGACATAAACATTACGTAGTATTTGTCCATGTACTCTCTGACACGAGCTGGCATTCCGAAAAAGTCAATGTGACGAACCCAGTTACCGGCTCATGACCCTCGTACCCGGAAACCTAGGAACCCGGCTTCAGTTCCTTGTAGTATTATAGACTATAGGCTCACAACAAAACAAACCCGGGTCGGTTTATAATAAGATGTCATTGGTTGACTTTTGTGATATTTTACGGGGTGATATTTATATAAGATTTTGAGGAGCAATCCCGGTTACGTTTTACAACTGGTTAAAAACCACTTTGTTTGTTTTAAGAAATATATCATTGTTCACTGCTTCTCCGCACCATAAAAAAATCGCGTATAACATTTAATTACTGCAATAAATCAAGAAATTATATCGATCTTGAAACCAGATTTGTATTTGCTTGTTACATCATCACTGTATGTTTTGTGTATTAATTACTATTACGTCACCGGTTCTTCATTTTAATTCTTTTTCTGCTATCTCCGGTTTTCATTTGTTTATTTTTTTTAAAGTTTTCTTCGTGTATATTTTAGATTGATAGGTATGGCTACACTTATGAACGACTTTCTATTTACGATGATAAGGTCAATTTTTGAATTTTCATTGTCGAAGCGCAAAAGAGTTAATGATCTTACATAAAACTGAGACATATACCTCTCTATTATAACTAAGAGTAGACAAGTATTAACTATGATAGTATGTTTCCTGATACGTATGGCAAAATTAACAGCAGATGAAAAGAAATAAAGATTGGAGAAAAATCCGTTTTATTTGAATATATAGATGAAATGTATCCAGTTGTCGCTCAACACTACTGAACGAAATATATCTAACTGAGATGATTTTGGTTGAAGAAATTATGACTACCTATGTAGATTTTTTATCCTGTTTTGTGAAACTATAGCTTTTAGAGAGAGAGAGAGAGAGACAAAAAAACACCCCGTCAGCTGTTTAGCCCCAATCCTATCCCTCAATACCACCCGATACTTTGCCCCGCCCGTCAATGGTTTTGAACAAAACAACGGACTACGGTTCGTGTTGGAGCCTTGCTTGAGATATCTTGACCCAGATGAAATCAAACAAATATAACACTGATAAGAAAAGATTGGAATTATACTGGAATTTCTCTACAATAATATCTCAATATTTAAAGATAAAATTCTGAAATATGCTCTGGTCAGATTTCGATTAGATTTGTGCATTCCCCTCGGTACTGTCGCCGGCCATTATCGGTGGCGAGCTCGACAGATTTTCAAACAAACGTTGACGATCGGTGTGTGGAAAGATTGAGATTATTTGAAGTTTTTAACATGTCGACGGGGAATATAGAATGAGTTGTCATTCTTCACAGTAGGACTGAGTTCACTATCAGTTCGTACTCCGACACTATAGCCCAATCTGGTCGGCTGTTCCTCACAAGTTATGTACACATTCGCTGTCCGCTAGAACTTCGGGTGCAATTGTTTATATAAAGTATTACGGACGGGTAATAATCGACCTAAACTGCACAGATCAAATGTATAGCTTTATATTCTTACCGAGACAGGCAGTGTTACCTATACTGTACTCATTGCTATTTTAAGAGAAAATGAGTGGCATATTAGACGAATTTTAACGGACTTAAACAACACAAATAGTGTTTTGGGAGAATAGAAATTGTTCAGGGAAATATTTAAAACTAACATATGTCTGTTTGTTACTATGGATAAATACCTATATGTATGCACTTTATGTTGTTTTTGTGTATTATTGTAATTATAAAGATTATCAAACAAAATCGCGTTACATACATTTATTTTGATTGTTAAAATGAAAGTATATTGTTTACGGAGAATTCTGCATCATTAAAAATACAAAAGGCAAAATATCTTGATCAATACTAGAAAAGATTACTACAATATCATGTCATAAAATGATGAATACATATTATCAAAATTTATAATATTAAACAGCTATTGCTGTCGTTTACATATTATATTTGTGTCCCCTTTAAAAAAGGAGCAGGTAGTTCTAAAAAATAGACAATTAATTTGCATTGCCGCTATGACTGAAGTGTTTAATATTTACATAGATGATACCGCATATTTATTTACCGGGGAATGTACTGCTCATGTTAACATGCTCAATATGTCAATAACCAAAGTTATTATTAGCGGACAGATTTTTCGTCAAAAACTAGATTGTGGTTTGGCCATTGATAAAGTAAACCCGTGCTTAGCCGTGTTTAACACATGTCAGGATTCAAATATACTATTCACGGTTAAATCTTAACATAGGGTTAAGGGCCAGAAGATAATTTAGTAACTGTTTGGTGAAAAACGAAAAGAAAGTATTTCTCTGACCCCCATAAAAATATCATATGAAAAAAAAAATCAATATTTGTTTTCATGTATGATATAAACCACTTATCTTATTATTAGTATACTCAAAACTGGAACAAATTAAGTTGTATATTAGTTTTATTACACAGTTACAAAGCTGTATAATAATATAAATAATAATGAATCATTTATTTTTACAAAATTTCTCTTTTTTTTATTTTTACTATTTGTTATTACAAAGCGTTTCAATGTTTTACCTTTCTTTGATTGAATTTGTTTACATTTTAAATTAGTACGTAATTTATTATAAACAATTTTATTTAAAGTTACTATAATTTTAATATGTCTATTTAGAGTATATGGGTATCTCTGTTACAGCACCGTATCGTTTATATGTTTAGGGTTAAATATGTGTGCGTTTGTATATATTGACCAGCAAAAAACCGGTTTATCGCTCAGGTTTCTACTGTTATTACCGATACGCATCGAAACAGGCCGGTATGAGAGAATGTGTTTCGCGTGTACATTGTAATAGAATGTTACTTGTATGATGATCTCCGTTCAGGCCTATTGCAAGAGGCTAGTAAAATCACAAATGATTTTTACAATATGAGTAAAGAGGAAAGGTTAGTTGTAATTCTAAGCAACCCTTACATGGCGAGGTCCTGTGCCAAAACCTGTGTTAATATTCTCAATCGACGTCGCAACATGATCTATAATTAAACAGTAATGTGTTTTTTAATGTCAATTAATTTTATAGTTTTATATTGGCAAATTGTTTTTTATTCATAAGTATGTATATATATGTAATACTTTTACAGTCTAGAATGATAGGGGAAGAGTGAGTGTCTCGTAAGTCTAATATAGACTGGATGTAAGGGTGGGTGAGTAGACATACTTTAGAGATTGTAATACTTGTACCTTTTACATGTGACACTACAATAAACTAATTTGAATTTGAATATAATACGATACGTATAAGATAATTCTCAAACGGGTGAAATTCTGTGTTTTTGAGCCATCTTTTCAAATAGGTTGATGAAATGTATAATTGTTACAAGATTTAGAATTTCAAATCATAAAATTAAATAAATATTTTCAGAATATTCAATGGCGATAAAATTATTTTTAGTTTTCTGCTCGTATAAATATGACCAGGAAATCGGGTTATCATTTCTGTCAAACAAGTGGATGACTGGGACCAAACTGTTGGGGAGATGAGACAATATTTGGTACAGGCCTACAGGGTAAGGGAGGTACGCTCGCTTCCCTGTTTACTTCCTGCTCCATGCTGAGTGCTGCAGTTTGCAGTTTTGCAGGATGAAGTGCTCATATTAATGCTGATGTGTATATAAACTGAACTGCCGATTTTATATTTGCTCCAAACTGTGGAAAACCACCTCAAGTAGAAAAGGAAATCGGGTTTTTTTCAATATCATAACAAACTACTAATTTAAGAGAAAATGTCTCAGATAAATTTGTTTTAGTTGTCTGTAACAATTTGACATGGCCTCCCTATCGCCTCAAGGATTATAACATCGAGCCCCTTTGTGTGGTAGCATAGGTACCGTAGTATAATATTGACATATAATGTACACACAAATTGAATATAAAGTACATTTACCATATTTCTTCCAAAGGTTTTTATTTTGAGCTGATTAATGTTGAAGTAATTAATTTCAACTCGAAAGTCCTAGCAAATATTTTGCAATAAACTTAAAAGTTTGTATCAATATGCATGCTAAATGTTTAATACTTCGTGCGATGACTCATGTTATACCGAGAAGAATG